AACGCAGGCGGAGGCACACACAACTTTGTTGTGTTTATTTTTTTTTTTTTTTTTTTTTCTTTTTTTCTTTTTTTTTTTTTTTTGTTGGGGGTGGGGGGGGGGGGGGGGGGGGGGGGTCTGCATTTTGTTTTTCACAAAAGTTGACAAAAACAAAGCCCGAGTACCGGCAGGCAGTACCTGGAAGTGGGAGGCTCGACAGCCCAACCCCATGCGAACCCAGATGCCATAAATGTCATTAAGTCATTAACTGGCCTTCACTTGCTGGCTGTTCATATTCTCCGCTTTATCTGTGTTTTTGTTTTGCACAACTCCTTCCTCAATACTGTGGAGAATCGGTTGGGAAATATTGGTATTTATGGGTTCAAAATGTGATTCAAAAGATAATATTTATGGCTGTTGGGTAAGGGTAAGGGTAAGGGTGCAAAAGCATTCCTTTGATTACTGTACTTCTTAGCTGATTCAAGGCTTCTTTTCTGTGTATATTATCATCCCTTAACCATCAAGGTTTAGCCATACGTTTTACCTTGGAACGGTCAAATAATATTCCAAACCCAAGTCTCGTATTTCTAGTCTGGCTTTTCTACTGATAAGATTCATATTTGGTTCGAGTATGGCTGGCTGGCTGGCTGGCTGGCTGGCTTGTGCCACTTCAAATCAATCATTAAATGTTAGTATAACCTAAAAACCTTATCAATAGACTTGGCAAAACATAGTCATTGGCGGCGCCTCGGCTCGCTCACACTTGCTTTGTTTTTCTTTCGATGAGAATTTGTTTTCTTTCTTCGATTGGAAGTACATACGAGTACGCGAAGAGAGAGAGAGATTAGCATTCCCCAAACAGTACGAGTATCGAGTACACAGATTACACTCCATCAAACGTTGCTGAACGTTTCTGGTGCTGCGCGAACAATGACAAAACTCTCAGTGGGCATCGCATGTTTATTTCCATATTTGGAAAAGAAAAAGTACGCAATTATATACACGAAGCTGACGTCAGAGCATCTTGGAATGATTGATAGCTGATACTTAACTCGCATGAAATAATTGTTTAAGGAAGCGTACGCTTCCGCCTACTTTAAGGGTCGTTTATTATAATTATTTAAAATGTTGCAGCAAAATAAATTACATTTTATTTGACGTTCTTTTGTTGGGCGAGTGGTCGTCGTGTTCTTTACACAAATTGTCGGCCTCTCAGCCCACTGCTTGACAAGTGAAAAGCTGAAGCAGCAGCTACGGAAGCAATGGGCACGAAGGATGCTAAAGATAAACCAAAAAGACTCAATGCGAAATGTCATAGAATTTGAATGAAATGCGCCAACTGTTGGGGGGCTGCTGTGATGTGTCCGTAGAAGAGTCATCTGTGGGCGTACAAACGGAATTTCACTGAGGTAAAAATATGTTCGATATGCTAATTGGGGACCTAATTTAGGAACCTTTAGATTTTGACTGCTTCCCTCCACCAATTAATGAGATTTATTAACAGCGAAGTAACCGAAGACTCTGTAGCGCACTCTCTCCGCACTCTTAACACAGAGTAGCTTAGCAGCAAACGGATGTACAAAATGTCATTGCAGACTTTCACTCCAGACAGCAACAGCGATGACGAAACGGGGGAGGAAGGAAAGGCTTTCGGGCGGTGTGTGTCACACAGACAGTGATTGAGTTGAATAATTATAATTATTATCTCAAAGCAAGCACAAATCGTTGCTATTTTTGTTGTTTTAAATTGGCAAACAATTTATGGCACTTTTTGAAGTGTGGCACTGGCTGCGAGTGTGTGTCCGTGTGCGTCCAGAGATAAGCTAAATCCATACAGTTGCGAAAAAAATGTCTGCCATTTTGTAAACAACACAAAAGCCCTGATAAGAGGCCCCCCCCCCCTCTGTTGAAGCTCATAAAAATATCAGCCCGAAGCCAGCCTCGTATAAAATTCGTATTTTATTGTATTTGTATTTATTTTTTTTTGCTGCCACCAAGGTCAAAAGCAACAACAGAGAATTCAACGCATAAATTCTGTGGCAAACAAAGAAGAGAGATGGGGAGAGGGGGACTGTGTTGGGGGTGGGACTGGAAAATACTTTCACAAAGAGAGCGAAAGAGAATGCGGGAAAAACTTTGTGTCGCAAGGAGTTTGAAAGCAAGAAAAGAACTGCAGTGAAAATAAAATGAAAGTGTGTGTGGGGAGAGCGAGGAGAGGGGAGCAGGGAGCAATTGAATTGACCCAAATGACCATTATGGATGTCAGCAGCAGCAGCACTGGCCACTGGTCTCTCTCTCTCTGTCTCTTTCTCTGCATCTTCCAATTGGTATTCGTGGAAAAGGAAAAGTTGATTGACTTTAAATGAGGCATGCCACAAGTTGCCAGCACAAGACACACGATACGAAACGGCACAAAATGTGTCACAAACAGCCACAGTTCCGGGAGATTTTCTATTAACAATTGATGCTTTGGTTCTGGGTCTTTGCCTTAGATATTATTCCTAAAAGCAAGCAGTTCACATGTGACTGGCAATGGCCAGTGTTGAACAACTCCCACCTATGGCTGTTAGGCCCTGAAATTTAGCCAATAGTTTGACTGGATTGCCTCAAATTCGATTATTCCTACCCATAAACAAGTCGTTGGCTTGCCATTCATGAGGTTCATTGAAAGTGTTTAAAACAAAATCGTTTGCCATCTTGTTTGGTAGATTGTTCATTTGCTTCTTCGCTGCTTTTAATTGGGTCTAAATATAGAATCGCCTCCACTCCATTGATATCCATGCTGAGAGGCACTCACCACAAAGCAAGATTCAATTCAATTGAACTAAATTCGTGCCTCAAACGCACACAATTGAATGGCAGAGGGAGGGGAGGGCCAGCCCACTCTTGATTGAATTGTATCTTTGGGTTGGCTGAGCATCCGAGTCCATCTCTCGATGGGCCTTTCAATTGCTCTGTTGGCTCTATTTATGGACTGTACCGGCGAGGCGAGACCTTGCCTAATCGAGATTAAGAACGGATCTTCCAACAGTCCAAGCGGCCAAGCGCTTTCATGGTCAAAAGTTCAAAAACGTTTCGCTCAGTCCATGACGTCGTCGCCTCTCATATTTTTTTTTTCATATTTTTTCAGTTTCACAGATAAGACTGGTTTGTTTTCAGACATTTTTTTGTCCATTATAAAGATTAGCGACTGCTTGTTATCAGCTCTTATCTATTTTATGACCTGATGGTCGTATTAATAAAACTCTGATGTAAAAACAATTAGAAATCGAATGAAAATTGAATGGGAACTGAACTTACCATTGCCTGTTCGATTTTGTTGTCAATCGCAACTGCACTTGTTCCAGATGCACTGAAAGAAATTATTGGTGGAGTACAGAATTAGTTGAGAGTTTAAGGTGAGGGAAAAATGTACACATAATAATTTGGTGCTACAAGTGAAGGTTACTGACTACCCACCTGAGAACCCAATGCAATGGTATCTGACTCACTTCGTTCTCTGACATTACATTGAACTCCTACCTCTAGCCACAATTTATTGCTTTAAGCGAACTGCCATTTGATGACACACTCTCCATGGCACATGGTGCCATTTCTATTATTAGAAATTATTGCGCGTGCCAGAAAACAAAACCAAAAACAATAAATAATAGACAGGCAGACAGTACAGAGGTAGGTACTCTCACATCGATCTAAAGTGTGGCAAAAGTTGTTGCCTTGCGGCAAGATCATGGCTGTATTCATGTGTGTGCGTGGGTTCATTGCTCCACAAAGTATCTGTGAGAGCCGGGCTCATAAGAGTGCGCTTAGTTTAAGCAGTTTTAAAGGTGGGTTTCTAATAGAATCTTAATCAATTTTGTAGGTCCTTGAAATGTTTTTCTTTGCTCACCAAAAACCCGTCATTAGCGTCGATCGAAGACCGGCATTAGTGTTGGCCAGAGCCCGGCAATAGAGTTGATCAAAGACCGGCATTAGAGTGGATCCAGACCTGCTAAATAATTTGTATTTTCTAGCTCCAAGGCGAACCAGATATTTATGCCTAGAACCATAGACGAATGCCACAAGCGAAATGAAGCTGGAAAATTACAGTGTTGGTGGATTTTTCTAGCTTGTTGCATAAAGGCCTCGCAAATTGCACAAAGCAATGCTGTAATTTTCAGTTTTAAGAGAGTTCGTGCCGCACCTCTCTTTGATTGAACAAATTCAAAATTCCACCAAAAAGACTTCGATTTCTATTAAATATCTCCCATTCATCTTTCACTCTGGGCTCTCGACAATTTAATTGCTCAGTTGGCATTGCAATTAGATGGGGAGCTTAGATGGGTTGTGCGGGGAGGGGGGGCTTAAAACTTTAACTCGGCATCGAGGAAGTTTTATTGTCATAGTGACCTCAATTTGCCAGACTGACTGACTGCCTGTCTGTCTGTCTGTCTATCAGCAAGGTCAGATTGCCAAAAATAGCGCGCATTCGAAGGTCTCCCCTACGATCTCCCACCTGGGGGAAAAAGTCTTGCTTGATTGGTTTTTAATTGAGGCTTGAGTTAAAAAACTATTGAGAGACGATGCGGCTATTAAATCTGTCAATAAAATAATGAATATGTGATAATTACTATGCCTAAAATAATTAAATAGAAACCATTATTTAGGGAGGACATTTAAAGGTCTTTAAATATTAAAAATATAGCTAAAAATACTTTTAAAGTTTTATTCGCACAAAAACACAAAACATATTCGCATGATTAAACACATTTTATGTGCCTGCGGCCTTTTGTGTTGAAATGCATTTTTGTTTACGAGGAATACGAATTCTGTATGGCAAAGGATGAGGCATGGAATGGGAAATGCACAAATGATGAGATGCGATGAGAGTTTTGGATGGATTTGCAGCTGGCGAAATAATTAAAGTCGTTGCGGCAGGCAGGCAATAAAAAACCGAGTTAAGGAGCACCGCAGCAGAAAAAACAGAATCGCAATCGGAGTCAGCGGTTGCTCGGAAATCCGACACGGCGACTCCACCCCTGAGTGCCCAGCCGCAGCCACAGCCGCAGCCACAGCAAGGACGCGAAGCGGCAAAGTTTTTTAACCTGAGCGGGCCCAAGGGCCAGGCCAGCGTCGTGTTTTTTATGACTTTCCATATCTCGAGAAAAGTAAAAGTCTGGGCCCTCCCCCCTTCCATGCAACGGATGCAGATGGGGAGACGCACGCCGGTAGAGTGCAATGACTCATGTCGTGACTTTTGTTCTCTTTCTTTTGGCACAAAAATGCGAGTAAGTGCGAACAAATAAATAAAACAACGCTACATTTATTTAGCCAATGTCAGACGCGGACAACGGTCATTGGCGTCTTGTGAATATTCTTCTTGTTGTTCTTTTTGATTTGTCACGGGTAAACGGTAAACGGTAAACGAGTTGAAGTTTTTGTTTTCTCTTCTTCTCTTTTGGGTGGAAATCCGTGTGTCGCGTGGCAAGAGTACGAAAATTCCCATTGGTCATGGGCATATGGAAATTGCAAGAATGAAGAGCACTTAAAAGTGCTTCCACTGAAGCACACTGCATCCAACATTTATTTGATTTAGTTTAGTTTGCTCAGAGTGGAGCTGCTTAAATGCTTAAATTTCCACAGCGATCCCCCTTCCAAAACCCCCTCCTAAGCCTTTCGCAATCATCGCACAGCTGGAAACATCATTGGAGCTTTTATTGTCACGGATTTCTTATCATCATCCCATCAGTTGCTATCATCTGGCCTCCCTTCTGCGTTGCAATAATTGTACCAAGAGAAAAGACGCAAACGCAAGAAAGAACAGCAAACAAAAACACACGCAGCATAGAGCAGAAGCAGAGCAAAGCAAACTAATGAACAACACCAACAAATTAATAGGGGCGCATAAAGAAATGCAAAGTTTATTAAAGTTCAAACGCTGCGCAGCGCAGTGCGGGCTCCCGAATAATTCTCCATCAAAAATACGAATGATGTCATTTAGTTATTGTCTTTTTTGGATCTATTTTATTTTGGCTTCTCCTGTTTTTTTCATGCAGTTTTATTTATTAAATCACGTGATGAATGAACAACAAAAAATATGAAATAAAAGCTGTCACTGACAATAACAAAATGCAAATTTAAAGCAACGAATAACAATAATAATGGCAAAGCAGACGAAAATAAAGGCCATAAATGAAGCGCGGCTTTAGTTGAGTTTTTTTCTGTGACAAGCTTTAAGTTGTGCTTTGAGCTTTAGGCTTGCGGCCTATATAGAACTTATAAACTGAATTCGTTGTTTATGGGATAAATATGTTTTATAAGAAATGTTTCTGTGTATCAAGTTGAAGTACGAAGTTGAAGTACGTCTTCGTCCTCATTCCATCTACCAAAACATACAATTTCTAACACCTCTAAGACTTATATAAAGCCCCCATATTCCAAGTAATTCCAAGTATGCCGTCTAATACCAGACCCAATGCAAGTTTCTATTGGTTTTTATTTCTGGTTTGGCTTTAGTATTGTCATTTATCTTTTTTGTTGCATTTTTGCTGGCGCCACTCGCTTGAACGTGCCATTTTTCCCTCACTTGGCAATTGCAAAGACATCGTCAAATTACGCGACGCCAATTGGCATGCAAATTTGGACGAGTCGAAGTCGTATCGAACCCGTTCGATAGGCGAACTATCGCTGGCCAAGAGCCAAGTGCCACGCGGCCAGGTTAATCCCTTGAATGTCGCTGCTCTTTGGCATTTTCTCTACTTGGGATCTATTTTCATGCCATCCACATCGGACGCACCCAAATAACAGGCGACACTTCGACATTCCCGAAATTTTCAAAACTGTGGCGGATGTCGCGCCACTGCTTCGATCCCCCCATACAAAATGCTCTTCCAGCATTTTTCACACCAATTGTTTTCCGCCAATGCGGCAAAAAAGAGCCAGCCCCAACCACCAAACGGATTGGAGGAAGAGATATTGCAATTTTTGCTGATCCAAAACATTTCTGTAAAAGACAACTTGGCATACATATTTATTCCTCAACAACTCTTCGATTTCCCGCTGACGACCGAACGAACATTTCTCGAGTGTTTATTTGCATTTCGCGGAGTGTCTCAAGAGCTGGGGGGATCTTGCGCGTTCCATGGGAGCTCTGATGACACTGAGTTTACGACTCCAGGAAGTTGACATTATACAAATTGATGGGCGCAAAAATATAAGAAACAAATAGCCAGAAACAGGAAGTGAATTGCGTAACGAAAGATATAGTGGGGGAGGGGAGAAGTGTCAATGCGTTACAAAATTACAATTTTTAGAGGAGCCAAAGAGCTGCTTTTTGCAGGATTTGCTTAACATTTCCCAAACGATCTATTGATATTTTGAAAGAAATACAATTGAATACATTTTACGAGAATTAAAATATCACATTTCTTAAACATAAATGAAATGTTATGTGTGAAGTTTTGAAGAGCCGCCTTTTAAGCCTATTTTTTTGATCCGCTTTGCCTCTTTTTCAGGTCGATTTGCAAAGAATTCGCCAGCCTTTTCGAGTCCCTTTGAATCGTATTCGAATGAACTTCATTCATAAACAATAAATCAACACAAAATGATAATAAGAAATACAACAAAAAATGGGAATAAATTAAAACAAACTAAAGGCGACGACTGGCATTTGCCCCTGACCCAATTAAAATCGAATTCATGGAAATGCGACAACAAAAAAACACCCAAAAAAATACAAAGCAAAATATCCGTGTAAGTAGGAATGAAAGAAAAGGGTTCCAAGACAGAAACAGGCCAGGCTAAAACCGTTGAAAAATAAAAATGACACTGCCATAAAAGTGGTCCAAGTGCAAGACCGGTTCGGTTCGCGTCGGTTTCGTGGTTTGGCGCCTTACTGCCACAGGAAGCCTTGCTAAAACAACAGCAAAAAGGCAAAGAAAATGTCTCCAACTTGTCAGGCTTCCATGGCAAAGATAGGCGCGTGGCAGGCAGGCTCCAGCCTAATACACAACTTTGCAACAAGTTGCCTAACTGGACGGTAACGGACACAAAAATAAAACAACAAAAATGAGGTCAGCGCTAAAAAAAAGCATAGTATTTCATACACAAAGTCCACACACAGAGCTAACGTTGGCTGCGATGCGTTGGCTCGTTTTTCGATGATGTAAGGCGGCAGGAAGCGACAGGCAGGCAGGCAGGCAGGCAGTCAGGCCAGGAACATGTATCCGTATAATCGTGCAGGCAGTAAAAAGCTCTCCCAACGGGCCACAGGAGAGAGTGACAGAGAGAGCCGGGGGGGAGTGCAAAATATTTCCCCAAATCTTACACTATTCTAAATGCAACCTAAAACTCATTTGTGTAGCTATGCAAAAA